AAGCGTTTGGCAGTGCACGCTACAAAAGGTTGACTTTATATGAAGGAGTTCATGGGGCCAAGGACTGCATTGAAGAGCATCTGATATCCCTGCTTGAAGCGAGCAACTTGAGACAGCACATGGAGGAGAGCATACCCTGATGTGAATGGGAGGGGCTGTTGAACCACAAGATACCTTACTATTCTCCCGTTGAGTGGGCAAAATATATCCCACAAATCATTCTGCTTTCAGGCACAACACGAACATGATCCAGATATTCCTGTTTATCCGACACGCAGTCGCACATTCGGAACTGCAGGCCTAAGCATTATGGCGTTCAAGTAGACTGGTAAGGTATATGAAGTGAGTGAAAGTAACTGGGGATATCGGGAAATTATGTGTAGGTCTAACAAAGAGAAGCGATTGTGCAGTCCAAATGTAGTGTATGATCTTGTCATCTACGATCTCCGAGTCCCTAGAGAAGAGTGTAAAACTCGCTTCCCGCCCAAGGAAAAAACTACCAAATGGTGTACTCGAATACCACTCTGATTTCTGGGTTTCCAGCACAGCGACGAATACACGCAGACATTTCCTTTTCCAAGTGCTGAGTCCACACATTTTTGTTTTCCGTGTCCCAAGAAACGCAGCCATAGACCACAATGCGCTGGAGGCCTTTCATTGTTTCCAGAGTCCGAAGGGCGGCCAATGCATCGTTCTGCACTGGATGCCTATCAGTCACCGGGACAACGCCACTGGGGAACTCGAAAGCCCTTCTAGTGACCCTGAACGTGGTTATAGCGTCTCGCTGCTCGTTGCTGAGCCGATTGATGAATGTGCTAATACCCCGAGGCAAGATCTGGAAAGCGTAGAGCTTGAAAGGCAGGAGGCGTGTTTCGGCATAGACCTGGCGGCTGACAGCGAGGAGCCGGAGATCCGCAGGGAGGGGTAGGCGTCGATCAAGATGGCTCACGTACATCTCCGAGAACTTGGGAATCGTGGTGTCGCGAAACACATGGGCATATATTTGGTTGCGGATCTCGCCCGGGAGACGCAGAAAGGGCGACTCTCGCTGGTTGCGCGTGGCACTGCAGCGATATTAGTTATGATCTGAGCAGCGCGAAACTTCCGGAACAACTTACATGACGGTTGCTTCTTGAGCAACTCGAGCGTCCATCGTGGTGTTTCGCATCCGTGGACGCTTGGTGGTGAGCAAAACAGAAGGAGCGTCGAAGGTGGTTTCCAAGGTTACGTCAACAATTCAATCGGGCTAGTGAGCCCTGGAGAGCAAACAGTCCTCTGATGTCATCCATGGATTGCTTTGCAGTATCGGAAGGTGCGCCTCTTCTCTCACTTCAAAGGACCTTCACCTCTTTAGCCACGGCAGCGCAAAGCTCGACCGTCACTCCCGCCCCAGAGAGCACATGTATCCAAAGTCTCTGTGTATCACTCAAACGGTCGTTCTCACTTTTCACCTCTGCAAACTTGACTTCGCCCTTCTTCCCCTCTTCTTCTGTAACTCGCCAAAGAAACAGATCGGGTACACCGCCACCTCTCTGTCCATACTCTTGCGCCATGACTTTGCACACAGTTGCCAACGCCTCGCCGTCAAAGCAGCGAGCAATCTCAAGCAGATCAACAACGTCGTATGTCCAGTCCAGACCTACAACGCAAGTCCGACGCTCATGGTGGTCGTCGTAGATTCTTTGGATGATGGCGGGTGCGTCACCGTTTGATATCTCGTTCAACCTTGCGTTGATCTCGGATATCCGAGAGGGATAGAAGGCGTCGGTATGTAGGTCCAACGGACAGGTCTGGTAAGGAGTCTGGAAGACGTTGGGTACATACGTGAATAGGACGTCGTAGAACAAGTATGCGAAAAGCGTACGCACGATACCACCTTCAGCGTGATAGCCTTTCCAGCCTTGGTTGCGGTAATGCGAGAGACACATTGCTTCGACTGAGCACTCGCCATCTTCGCGCGGATCGATCCATATGGTCTTCCCACCCCGTCGGCCCGATTTCGCATGTGGTGAGCTAGTACGTCTCGACAATGAGGGTCTTTCGCGTTCGATACGCGTTCCCTCCATGACGACTTCGACCGGCTTCGTCAAGCGGACATGTGAGAAGTCGTGTTGCAATCGTTTAACACATTTCAGAGACAATTCAAGTTTGGTGATACGCTTCTGCAAATCATAGTGATAGATAATATGCACAAGGTTATCCTGCAACCCGTCTTCACAGGTCTGCAAAGCAATAAGCTTCCAATGCCTCTTTTGTTTCTCTGCGCTTCTGTTCTCCGCATCGGTCAAGGCGGCCATGTAGTGTTCCTCAAGCAGTGCTTTGCGCTGGTACCAAGCTCCTCTACGAGAATGATGGAACAGTCGCTGTTGCAGCAGTTCATTCAAGAGTTCGTGCTCGCGCCTATGCTCCTTCCGTCGTCTGAGTATGTCAAGTGTCTTGTGAATGATGCGCGTGTATACCCAAGCTGGTGAAAGACGACGAAGGTATGACCCTTCGCCGCTGTGGTAGACGCTGTCCTCTTTTCGCTGCTCTTCTTGAACAAGCACTTGCCAGCGCGGATATACCTCCTCAAAGGTATCCAAGATTTCTTGATATCCTTTCTCCGTTGGTCTTCCGTTGAACTCCAAGATGTTATCTATCCGGTACTGCGTTCGTATAGAAGCCTCATACTCGAGCAATAGGGACCGAGAGGCGAATATATTCGCAGATCGAGACACAATGTACTCTGGAAAGTTCCAGCGCGCGATCTTTGCCAAGATGATGGTTGTTAATGACTTCTCGGTCCACTCGGTAGAGCGGTAAAAGACAAGATGCACACGTTCGAAGAGCTTCAAAGTGGCCAGCGAGAGTCGTATACAAGGGCCTGTTTCTTGCATGATCATCCGTGTGAAGTGCGCATCGCGATTTGCATCATCGGAGAGATCAGCTTCGGGCTCCAGCTCGACATCGGGCGTCTCTGTTCGTGACCTGGATACGGAAGATGCTCGCGACATCTCCGAGTCCGACCGCGTCAATCCAACATGGCCCAGACCGGTCTGTCTCTGACTTGTGCGTCGTAAAGCCTTCAGAAGCTCACCCTTGTTCTTTCCCTTGACCTTGGCATCCTTTGCAAGAGCCTTCAGTTCATCGAGTTTCAGCAAGGATGATGCTTCCTCGAGTGTGCTTATCTCCTCCTCAGATCGATCCGCGAACGTGAATGTGCTGCCCAGTGTTGTGCCTGCTGGTGCCTCTAGTTCGCCCGGGTGTGACTCGACTTCGGAGGAAGAGGCTGGCAGGTCGTAGGTACGTTGCAGTATTTCGGCTGCTGCGTCAAGGTCTGAGATGTCGCTGTGGTAGCCCAGGTTCTTTATGCGATGCCATGCGGAGGTCTTGCGAAGGAAAAGGCGTACGTATCTAGGAGAGAAGTCGAGGTTAGTATGACTCTACTGCTCATTATACTGGAACTTCCATCTTACAGATACTGCGCTTCGTAGCCTATCTCTCTCCACATCCGAAAGACCTCTGTTTCGGCCTCATCAAAGAGGTGGCCTTCCTCGTCCAGCACAGTATCCAGCGCGAGGTTGAATGCGTCGACATAGAGCGAGCTCTTGCCTCGAACCCATGACCGCTTTTCCAAGCGCTCATCTGTCCCGACTGTCTTGCTCTCTTCCTCCGCCTTGTACGCTTCATATGCTTTGATGGCGTCATCGCCTGTGTCGACTCGTGGTAGCGCACTCTCGAGATCTGTCTTGTGTTCTTTCTCTTCCTCCTTGATTATAGTGCCATCATTCTCGTCATCAGAGCCAAGCACTTCGCGCTTCACATTCTTGCGTGGTGTTGGTGGTGGTTTCTTGGGACTGTTGCCCGTCTTCTGGCGCTTGACCGGTCGATCTTGCTCGCCATCGAAGTTGGTGGATTTGGGATGCTTGATGAATCGGGTTATCATTTGATTGTGTACGGAAGGGCTCCGAGGATTGAGCGCCATTGCGAGGTCGCAGCAAGCTGCGGAGCGGCGCCTCGAACCAATGCAAGTAGCACTCGCCACAGGCCAGGGCGACGCGCGAGATCGCGCTGTCACGAGGCACTAACCCCGGCGGAACTTAGCGTGAACGGACCTCTGACGTCATCGCGATGCCCTCAGGATCTTTGAGTGAAGGACCTCCTTCAGGTTCAACAGACCTGAAAGATGTCTAATCGCCGAGTTAAAACATAGATATGAAGATTGATGGTCATACGCAGTGTACTCGCATAGAGCGTCCGTACTACGCGGGGTAAACCTCTACCCATTCTACAAACGTCCAACCGCCTTCCTAGGAGGTAGTATAGGTGAAGATACCGCAGCTACAATCGACAGCTCTTAATACTTGCCTAACGCGGTAACGTCTGTTTTAGGTTGAGACGAATTGCGACAGCAATGTACGTGTGAAATCCTCCGCCCTAAAATCTACGGTGGAGAGAACCCATCTATAGAAGGGTATGCACCAAGAAGAATGACAACGCTAGCGGAGCGGGTAGAGGGTAGAGGGTGAAGGATATCCTACCGCAATCAACGGCTTGCGATATTGCTTGATTGGGTAACGTCTGGCTCGAGATGAGACGAAATCTGATATATTCAACAGACCCGACGAACCGCGTCAACTAACAACAGTCCTATAAGTTGGCATCATCATCTTCCTGCCTGCGCCTCCGGCCCTTCACACCGGACTACTCTCGACTGCGCTAACTCTAACCTACTTCCCATCCATTGGTCGCTTTGAATCTCTACTTCGGTATCAATCTGTACGCCCATATAGGCTACGCCATGTCCACCCTTCCGACTACTCGCCGCTTCTAGATCTTTCCTGTCGTCGCTCCTTTGGATATCTTCTCTTTCCACGAAGGGGTTCTCGCTTCCTAGTACTCTTTGCCCAGATGTATGTATCGAAGTAACGCCAGATTTAATATCGTAAGCGAGCTCGACGTCGTGTGAGCTGAGGTTTGTAAAGGTGCGCGCACGGCTCTGTCGCTTGCTTATAGACAGATTACCGTATCCATGCGAGCTCTGGCCAGGCATCTTTGATTGGCTGGTAGCATAATAGCTTGTGTGTTCACGAAGGAAGCGTATGTGTTCGCGGAGAAGAGGCCAGATGCCGGGGAGATTGGCTACGTAGACGGCAACGGATGCCTCACGAGTATACCACAGCATGTACGTGGTGGAGTATACGTCCGATAGATTGTAAACTTTTGTCAGAATTGCTGCGACGATCTTATCGGTCGTGTCAGTGAGAAGAAATCGTGGGATAACAGGAGGGAGGAACGTACAACAAAGATGCCCATGCTGAACAATATACCTAGCACGACCTTCTGTTTCAGAGGAAGTGAAAGCGACATGATCATCGGTATTGGCACAGCGATGATGAGGACATCGCTGCTTATGTTGAAAGTTGCCTGTACTATCGCAAAGTGCTCAAGAGTCGTGCATTGCGGATTTGGGGGCGGCACTGCCCAGTATCCTACGAATGGGCGACACGCACTGAAGAAAGTAATCTGGACAGCGAACCAGCCGATAACGACCCATAGTGCAGCCACTTTGATCCACTTCATGTTCGTTGTTCCGGTCAGCATACGAGCAAACATGAACAGCATACAGGCTTTCAAGGACCATATAACGTTCAGCATACACTACTACGTGTTAGTTGTGCTTTATAGTGTGTTTGTATGTCTCATTGTCTATCGACTTACTTGCTCGGAAACGACGACGATCTTCGATCCTTTGATTCGCTCATCGATCTCTTCTTGACTGAACGTGGAGAACAGCTCTGGTGGGAAGAGGTTGCTTCCACCTCCTGTTGCGATTGTGTTCAAGCATACAATCAACCCAGTGTAGAAGGTTGGTACGGCCGTTGCCATGATCCAGTCATCTGCTGCAAAGGCGTTTAGGCTTCCGACTCGATGCCATCGCGCATAGCTGTAGTCGAGAGTGAGCACGGCGATATGGTTTGGCTAAGTATTACTAACGTGCGGAGTAAGATCATGACCATGCCGATGCCGTATAATATCCATGATTGCACCGACAATTGCTGCGGAAAGTCGGACATGTCGCTCTCGCCCATGATCGGAAATAGGATAGTTTCGCCTGAGAGTCGTTCGGCCAAGATGTTGTCCACGAGACCTTTGGTAGAGAAAACGAATGCTTGGAGTTATTAGTCGCACTTCCTCCACATGTAATGCTCCATGCTTTGAATTGTTAATAGCTCGGTTCAAACATAGTGTCGAGATAAAAGGGTTAGAACTCTTGAAATGAGATGACAGCCTTGGATGATAAGATGCTATGCCGCGGGAAGTTTACTGCTTAGCCAAGATAGACATAGTTCCGCTGCACCTATCAACACACCTAGACATCAGATCATATTCGGATACGACCCAAGATACGGGACGAGTATCCTGAGACTATACCCACAACAAACATCAATAGACATCTCCGCGAAGTTGTAATCGGTATCTTGGAATCCTTCGAGGCTCAATGGCGTGGATGCCCAAGTGGCCTGTGGCGATGATCACCATCAAAGTCGACCTAAATAGTTAGCATCATATGCCAGCCCATTCATTCTTCCAAGAGATGCCAGTGCGGATGCATGATTGGTGAGAATTGGCGCTGACAGCCAAGCTTGTCCCTGAACGAAGCGCGGGGTGCAACATTCAGCGTGATGGGGTCGACCGCAGGCGTGGGATGTAGGCGCTGTCCGAGGCGGACGCCTCCAGCCGCACGGTAGGTATTGTCCGTATTGGTATCAGAAATCACAAGGATTCACGTGTAAGCGATGCTTGTGATAATCTTACTGACGGCAGGACGAGCGGTGAGTAACAGCCTCAACAACTAGAGAAACACCGTTATCCAAGATTGTTGACAGAAACGTGTATTCAACACGCATTGCTTCGCCCAGAACACTCTCAAAGGCTATGCAAGCCACTCAAGTTGCATACCTGTGTATGAGTGCACTGAGACTCCGGTAATAAGACATGAGTCGTCCTGCCGTATGTGCGTCTATCTGCGGCAATATCCACACGAAGACGTTGAAGCGTGGAGGCGGGGAGGTGCGCGATAAGAGAAAAAGAAACCACAACGGAATGCGGATGTCATCCGCCAAGCGATCCATGCCACTGCCGAATTCTACATTTCATAAGCTTTTAGAAACCAACCCCGGTTTGATTACAAGGGACCTATCTCAAAAGAAACATATATACATTCTCAAGATAAGGAAATATGCAGGTCCCAACAGAACCCTCCGGCACCATGAAACAGACAGCGGAGAAACCGGAACAGCTCCATAGGAGATCTGCATCCAGGTACCAAGCCACATCATGCAGGGAAGGACCGACCACGTACACCAGACCCAACGCCAGAAAACCGCTGAATGTAAACGCTAAACCGCTCAAAAAGCTCCATGTACAGGGAAGATATAATCCATGAGCGCAACACTCATCTAAAGCGCCCAACTGCCTTTCCTAACGGCAGTTCCACGGCCCCCAGCCATGAATTCATCTTCAGCCATGTGGGGGTGTTGCCTTGCCCATTCCTGGATATAGATGCGTAAGGCGCGCCAGCGCATGCACGTCTCCTCGGTAATCTGGGTGTCCTTCAAATTGCCGTCGTTACCTAGACGAATGTAGCCACGGGATGAGGCAAGGTGATCGTCTTGCCTCAACTCGGAAATGGGAATGTGCGAAATCTTTGAAAGCTCTTCATCGAACGGACGTGCCATTGATGGATAACCGAGTGACAGGTAATTGTACACTTGGGTGACAAAGTTGTCACCGAATTCTTCTTCGATGGACTGCTCGACAGCGAGCTTCTCATCGATGCCCGAGAAGTCTGTTTGCCCAAAAGTGATGCCGGAGCTCGATGCCGGAGGCGTAGGTGGTAAGAGGCTCGTAGAGGGCGTTGGACAAGGCGACATGGGGTTTGGCTTCTCATTGTGGGGTGTGAGTAGACCGGCTGGCCCGCGTGGGGACTTGTCTCCACCGTTGACGCAAAATCCACCCCACAATCCGTGCGTGCTCGAAGCTCGGCTGTTAGCATTGGACCACAATGATGGTGTTGTACTTGTTTGCCTGCCGTTGCCTTTTCCACACCATAAGCTTTCTCCTGTTTCAGACGCGGCCTTGGACTGCTCAGAGAGATAGCACATAGCCGTCCGGACCGCATCGCATCCTTGAGTAGGGTCAAAACGAGATGGCTCCGGTGATGCACATCGCGGGAATTTGATGTCCTGTCCAAGCATGGGAGGTCGGGCTTCTTTGCGCTGACGCTCTAATTCGGGGTCTTTTCGCTCTTTCGCAAACTTCTTGGCCGTAGCAGCATCCAGAAAGCCGGCTGGGTTTCCAAATGGACTGAAAGCAGGCTTGACATACTCCTTCTGCTTCTGCTCCTCTTTACCGGCTTTCTGCTTCTCTTGATACTCACGCATGGCAATTAAATCCCAATTAACCTGCGTGAAGGACGGTTCTCGCTGCGGCTTCGCCTCAGTGACTGATGGCTCTGAGCCTTCTGTATCATGATCCACGTAATGAGCCACGGGTTCGTGGAAGTCGCTGTTCGGGAATGCGGCCAAGGCCTGTTCCCGAAGCTGTTTCTCTGCAGCCTTAGCAGCCAACTCAAGTAGGTAGCCAGCAGAACTGTCGTCAACACTTTCTCGTCGTCGAGTAGCTTCTTTGTACATAAACGAATGGTCTGAAATATAAGGTGGCGACTCGGTCGGCGATGGCGGCGCAGATGCTTCAGACTCGGAAGACTCAATCGGGTCTAAGTCAGGAACACGGAACGAGTGTTGCGAGCAGCTAAAGTACGACCGGCGTCTACACGGTGAGGCGTTGCGTTGTATCTCCAAAAACAAAGGGTTCTGTTTGATATCAAAAGTCGGTGTGTTTGTTGGCGGTGTGGGAGGGATTCCCAGTATCCTTGCTTTCCGGGCACTTATTGCAGAGTCCGGGGTCGCCTCAGTCTTGTCGGACGGTTGTATTGCGGGAGTGTCGTCCCCAGCCTTGCGATGTCTTTGGGCAGTCTCGATCAATTGCGGTCGAAATTTCTTGGTAGGCAGTTTTAGAGAAGCCCTGTACTGGCTACTGTAGCTTGAAGCCGCTTCCATAGGATCCGCTTTGAACTTCCCGGTGGGGGATGTTTGCTCTTCCCAGTCCTTGGCAAACTTCTGACGACTGCTTCGTGTGGTCGTCTCCAAGGGCTCGGGAGCAAAGCGACGGTTGGACTTCTTGGTAGTCTCAACGGGCTCGGGCGCAAACCTACGGCTAGACTTGGAACTTGATTTTGTCGTCTCTATTGGCTGTGGTGCAAACCTCCGTGGCTTCGGCCTCTCGGCCTGCTGTGCCGGAGCTTTGTCCTGCTCTGCCGCAGCCTTGTCCTTGGAGGACGAGACAGTTGTCTCGATGGGCTCGACCTTGAAACGCCTGGGGGGAGCTGCTGACGCCATCTTTAAGTATTTCCAGCACTTGACGGGTGCTCCCTGATGCTATACTTATACAGGCAATCGGATATATCACTAACGGTGTCTTCGCCAATAGCACGACTATGCGGTCGCCCGGGTAGACTAGTGGCAGAGGCCTAGTATCTGGGGAGGTGCGGAACCGAAGCGGGGAATTTACTCGGAATATTTCGGAGGCATGTAACTGCGTAGGGGCGCTGTTGAGCGTGACAGCGACGTTGCGGACAATGCTCGGTGCAAAAGTAAGCACACGCAAGCCCCGCTGGCGGTATGTTGTGGTAGAAACGCTGGGATGAAGGGTGCAGCCGATGCTGGCTAGTTGGGGGCAGGGAATTGTCTACGGCGGTCGATTCGGAGGCGCGTAGGACTCAAGGGTGCTCGTGTGGTCTTGGAGCATGTCAGTCGCGTGCCATTTTGCTTCTGGCTGTCCCCCAGGCACGGGCTCAACTTACTGGACCCCGTATCGCAGTTCCCACACGGCCAAGGGTTTGTCGAACTGCGGAAAGCGTCTGAAGGAGAGGTTGCCGAGAAACATGTGAATGGCACAGTGTCTAGTAGCTGGCGCTGGCGTGTGTGGTGCAGGATGACGTATGGTGGAGCGACTGCTAGGGACAGCCCAGAGCTACCGCGGGGGTTTGCGGGTTTGGGTATGCGTGGGCGTGCACTGGTGGTGAGGGCCGTTGGTTATATCCAGGGCGGTCGCGGTCGTGTTCAGTCGTGGGCGCAGCTCGTTGGACGACAGGGTTGAGTTTCCAGCGTCTTGTTGAGGTTCGAGAGCTGGTCGTAGCGCCCTAGGACCAGCAAGATCCAGGCACTTAGATGGTCTTATCAATGCGTGCACCGCTATTGACACACGAGATATCCCTCGGACTTGGACTAAATGGGCAGTGGCAGAAAGTTCTAGGGCTCCATGGCTGTCTACCAGCTGCCCGATGACCAGCCTCGTGGGCGGAGCGGTCAATCAGTGGAGTCAGCACTCTGCACCCGACCGCATCTTCGGCACGTTAATTCGTTCCAGGATGCACGGTGCGAACGTGCAGCAGCCGTGTGGGTCTGCGATGAGAACTAGACAATTCCATGTCGAGCATCGGGGATCGACAAATGGCATGCGCTACTCCACGACTCCAGACTCCGCGCCCGCTTGCTGATCGAGAATGACTACAGTCTTTGGGGATTTCAGAAAGTCTGATTAGGCCTTTGCCTCGCAGTGAAAGCTATGCGGCATTTTGTGTGGAAATTAATGCTTTATTTACGGAAACCCTAGCCACGTACTGGTCTCCGCTGAGAAGAGCCCACAGAAGGTCATGGCGGCATCGTGTATTCCCGAATGCGGCCGCTGAGGCAGGAATCTTTCCATGTGTGCGTAGCCATAATGGCATAATTCATCACAATTCCACGACACAATTGCAGCATGCACATGCGCCTTCCGTTTACCGGCGTCGTGCTCAGAAAGCATACTTCGAGTTTAATCTGGTGCTGACCATCAGACGTTGTGAGGAGTGATCGGGCAGGTGCGGGCGATTTCGGGTGGCTTTTGCAGTTGACACATGCAGCATGAACGACGGTTACCGTAACCAAAATTAGAAAAATATACCACGACTCCACTTCGTGAGAGTACTCCTATCTTATTTTTGCTTTGTTCGCCCCGCTACGCCTGTATCGCTTTCCGCTTCACATTGGCCATGCATCTGGCTAAAGACTCACGACCACGTTTCTTTCCACTTATACAACTATTGGATACAGCTACTAACACAGTTCTATCAAACGCCAAAAGAAATACTCCATAGGTCAACTCGCTACACAACAATGAAATACAATCTGACTATCCGTCCCGAATACTGGAAGATAGGTACCTAGGTAATCTGAATGTCCATTCCGAAAAGCGCGCGCCTGAACTCCTACCACCAACCACCAATCAACAACCAACAAAAGCCTTCCAGTTGAACCGAATCCTACCGCCCAAACTATGGCGGCGAGATGTATCCATAAGCCGGCGCATACCCGTTCCACGACTGCTCCACCAGATACCAGAGGGGCGAGCGATCCGGCACGACAAGGTGACTCGCTGGGTCTCCGCGGCAATGCTCGTACTGGGGGCTGAGACGCAGCGGCGACTGCAGAAAAAAGTACTCAATAGGCAACGGCGTGGCAACCGGCATGCTGTGGGCAACCCAATAAAGAACACCCGGGTCGGGTGATCGGCTGCGAGCGCTGCCGCCGGCAGATGCTACTGGACTGTGGTCGATTGTGGCACAGGGTTCGACGACCATGCTGTCTGACATGGCGGCACAGTCTTGGACCGTATCCGTGGGGTCTAGGTCTGAAGAGTGTGTCGTGGCATCGTCTGCATCTTGGAAAACTCTGATATCCTCATCGTGGGACGCGGTCATCAAGTACGGTTCTTCGTCTGCATCAACGGCTGTCTCGTCGTCGCTCACTCCGCCACTTCCTTCGTCGTCATTGGCCTTCTCGCAACCTTCTCCGCAGTCGTAGCCACAATTTCTCCAATTGAACTGCGGCGGTCTATCCGACGATGGGCTATCTAGAGCCGGCTGGTGGAAGGGGTTGTTCGGATCATCGTGGTCGTACATCGTGGCGCCAGTAAGGAGATCGAGCAGTCTTTCCTGGAGGCATGTCAGTTCATCTTGTGTGGTATGGGCGCAAGCAGTCAGTACGATCGTTGTCAAAAGCGAGGACGTAGCCGAAGTCGAACCGTTGCATACACATAGAAAAGCAGTACATCTTACCTCGACAGCTCTACGGCAAGGAACAAGGACAGCAAGCAATGGAAGACAACTCTGTTTGTCACAGGACAATGATAGTTTTGGCAAAGGTAATGGTACACAAGCTAATAATACAGATCAAGACACTTCCAAATCAACAAACTCTTGAGAAGGGACCGAAAAGAACAACCACAACACATCCTCTCAAGTCTTTATACGCACAGTACACGAGCGATCATCGGCCAGCCAGAATATACGACAGAACGAAAGGGAGTCATAACCGCCTCCGCGACAGACACGTTGCCTAACCCCAAGCCTGAGTCGGTCACCTACCTGGCACCAACAACCCATCACTGGACCTCCTTCCCCGCATTTATCGCAAGCGACGTCGCATCATGAGTGTGAAGGACCAATATCCTCCGCTCATCTATTACCGTATTCCGACACCGGCCAGCGTGCCCATAACCTGGGGTAGTCGACAGTACCCTCGAGTAACCACGCGACGGAAGGATAGCATAGGATACGTCTGAAATAAGTCGGTAAAAGCCCGAAGGTAGCCGGCATGTAGATTGTTTTGCCTGATGACGGCATGGGGACTTTGTTTTGGGGAGAACGCGTCGCGTGTGCGTGTCCGAGATGGGCTCACCGGAGGCTGCCTATATGGGCGTTGGAAGTGGGGTAAAAAGCCACCGGTCAACACCGAAAACGATTGTAGACCAAGGAGTTAGGTATGACTCTGGTGAGATTGGTCGCTTCGTTTTGGCACGGTGCGGACATATGTCACTATGTATGACGGATATTTGGGGTCGCGTTAAGCAGTGTTGCCGCTTTTAACCCCGTCGGTCGGGAGATTTTGTCACTGGTGGATGGATTTAGAAAGGAGATCTAATTGTCTCATGATACTTTGGATATTTCCTGATGTTCGCTTTCTATCACGGTCATGGTGTAGCGCGCTAATGTATATGCATCTAAATTGCCGTGCATTCGCCTCCACATGCCGGGTCTTCAATCCAACTATGACGTCTTCTCCCGTCACTCTATGCCCTTCCTCTCTGTCTTGCTCATTTGTTATGCCAAAGTAATGTCCGTAAGGAATTCCAGTCGTCCGACTGAACGTAACTGTCCACACGTTAGCATAATCCCATATTCTTTGAGCTTCAAGGGTTACCCACATATAACTCATACTGCTCCTCAAACTGCTCTGCACAGCCTCAGGATGCCACCTGAAAATATACATAACCATCGCCCAACTCAGACTGGCAAACACCGGCCATCCGTTCTTCGCCATCGTTCTCCTCATCTCGCCGTTACCGAACAGCTCCCATCCACCACCACCACCTTGAACTCCTTGTCCACTAGCTCCGCCTCCGACCTGACGTGGTTGTACTGCCAGCTTTGCCAACGCTAACAACACGCGTGCAGCTACGTATATGACGATTTGCTGAGAGACGGAATTGTGAATTGTGCGACCGAAGACGGTGTAGCCGCCTAGAAGGCCGGCGAGGAAGGAATCGTAGTGTCGCTCTTTACCGGTCGGGGACGCGTGTCGGAGGAAGATCATGCAGGATTTGTAGACGAGGGCGAAGAGGCCGAGGTTACGGGCGTGTTGGCGGGTCGCTTTGTAGACGAGCAAGGCTTTCGACCGGAAGCTGTTTGAATTTTGTCAGCACGAATATTCTCTAGTCACGGAGTAGAGAAGAGGTTTGGCAGGGAGTGTGCTACATACCTTCCAGATCTGAAGAGGAATATCATTCTGTAACCACGCGTCAGCTATCCATCTCTCCATAAACACACAGTACTGTAAAAACCTACACCAGCGCATGCGGAAAGCGCACTTTACTTCCGTATACGATGCCATTCCTTACACCTTTTACCAGTGTGAGGATATCATGGTACTTAGGGTCTAGCACAATCCTGTCGAGCGCAGCCTATTCGAATCATCAGCTCTCGCGCTGCGAAGATGCGACATCCGAGTTTCTGCAACATACTTCGAGGGCATGTAATCTGTCCATATCGTCCGTATGTGGGTGTTATGACCTGGGTGTTGTGTTCTGTCGTTGCTGGCTTGCGTCCGGCGAAGAAGAGCCTCGGTCCAGCGCGCGCGCGTTGCGATGACGTTTGCCGCTACCTTTTACGGTCGCGGGAACTCTGAAGGAGACAATCGAAAGAGTAAAGAGAAGAGTGGAAGTACAGTGTACGTATCATGAGGCTGACATGGGGACGAGAGCGAGGTTTGCGGTCGGGTATAGATAGCGCAGAGTCGCAGTCGCGGAATGGCTGCTGGCATCTGATCCTCGGCTCGCGTCACATTGCCGGTTGCTGCTTCCCCACATCCGTGGATTGGTGCAGCTTCGCGCTAAGAGAAGGAAGGGACAGGGGTGTTTGCGCTCTGACATGTGAAGGCAGAATAATTTGGGAAATTCGCATGTGCATGCGTTCTATGATCTAAGACTGCTGCTTCTTTTCTAGGCGCTCAATGTAACAATACATGGTATCTCGACGCTCCCGCCTGATGCTATACAAACGCCCCCAAACACCATGATATGCTGCTCGACGAATTCCGCGCATCCAGCGCGAAATCCCGTAACGGCCCTACTCTACCCGTCGAGTAGGCCATCGCTTCTTTAACTCTTCATATACCGTAAAGATGAATGCAGAACTGGGTATGGATCTCGCAACTGTAATACCACACCCACGGTACATGCCTTTGATACCGTGTTGCTTCCAAACCGCCTTTCCTACGGCGCTGAATGTTGACTTTCCGCCAGTCAATTGCTTGACATCTTCGGTCTGCATTCTCGATTTGATCGTGTCCGCAGGGTAAAACATGAAGTTGTAGGCTCCACCTGCGACAGAACCAGAGGCCATGCGCTGCCAGACGGGAATATCTTCGTCCTTGGCTGAAATACCGGAGCCCTTGAACAGGATCTTCATGCCTTCATAGCCACCGAACCACGCTGCACCGCCTCCTGTCTCGCGAATCAAGGTTCCAAATTGTCCGTGCCAGTAGCCCTTGAGGCCCTGGTGACGATAGATAGAAGCAATGACTCCTCTGATGGTTGGTGCGGCCACGACGGTACCGCTCGTTTCTAGGGGAACTTGCATCTTGCATTTGACGAGTTCAATCGGTGTTAGGAAGAGCGAGGTGATGGCGCCCGCGATCATTCCGCAAAAGAGCATGCCAGAATATGGCAAGTCACGCTCAGGGTGTCTCTTCAGTTCAGGATAGAATCCCGAGGACTTGAGTGCATCGCCAGCCAGACGATACTACAGACCACATCAGCTTGATCCACTTCTCCATTGGCACGTTACTCACACTAAAGAACAAGGTGCTTGTCTCTACAGCAGCTCCTACCAGAGGCGCACTGATCCCCCGGTATATTCCAAGGAAGCCATCTTGCTGTAGGGACTTCTTGAAGCAGTCCAGTGGCCCGGTGTAGCGGAGTGGCACCTGGTCGGGCTGTGACTGCAGCCGAACCTTGACCGTATCGAAGGGGTACTCGATGTACTTTCCGACCACTCCTGCTGCGGATCCACAGAGAACGTCCTTCAAGGCCTCTTCTCCCTTGCCTATGGTATGCTCTGTAGCAGGACTCCGGACCTCTTCCATTATGACTGGGTTGGGCAGCCGGCCTCTTCCCCCCACCACCGACACCGGACTCTCTTGTGCTTCCATGGATGCGGAATGTGTGTGGCTCGTCAACGGATATGTGTGATTGTATTGAATGTATGGTTATGAAGCCGAGCGCATGTTGCGTGCGAAGAGTCGTGGGCGGTGAGAGGGCGCGTGGCTACTGTTATGAATCGGAGCCCATGTCAATGATGGAGTACACCGGTAGCGTTTGCGTTATGGCGAGTGGAGGAAGGTTCGGAAGTGTGTAACACGACGAAGAGAGTTTGCTCGAGGGAGCATGTAGCGGGCCGTGTGTGCGACGGGGATGGAGAAGATGATAACGCCCAACGTTGTACCAAACAGGGTCGACCTTTCTTTAGCTAGCCTAGAAAAATTCTGCAGTATCGGAAGAAAGTATTACAGGAGTGGAAAGCGCACAGCGCTTGCTAAGCCAGACCATCTGCATGCGCGAATAAAGTATGAGCGCAACGAGCAGTTGGGGACGCGCTCCGGCCGCACTTCTGCTGATGCAGCTTATCAGATCAATTCGATCTGATAACATTTGAGTTGGGCGGGATTTGGGATCCCTGGCTGGCAGCCCGCGCCGGCAAAGTGCGCTAGTTATCGATAATCGGCATTAACTTTTCTCGCGCCGCCGTGTTCTGGGTTCGAGAACTTCTGCGAGATCCACTGGTCGCGCAACACTGCAACCATGTCTGAATCTGTGATAATCGAGGCGCCTCCTGCCACGGAAACTGCCCCTGTCAAGGGCATGAAGAAGAACGGTATGCGACTGCTGTGTGCAGTATACCATTGCGACATGGCAATCTAACTTTCCCCAGGCAAGCAATGGCACGACAACAAGGGTCCCTTCCGACCAAAGGCTGGCCAGACCTCATGGGAGAAGCGCAGCGAGGAGAGGAAAGCGCTCGCTGCTGTCAAGGCGAAGGAGAAGGAGCTGAAGGACGAGAAGGAGTCTGAGAGACAGGTAGGAAACCACGGCTTCTGGTTACAAGTAGACGGGAGCTGACTGTGCAATAGCGACGAGTCGAAGCTATCAAGACCAAGCGCGCCGCCAAAGCAGAACGAGAGCGATTCGCCCAGATGGAGGAGAAGATGCACAAGAAGCGCGTCGAGCGCCTGAAGAGGAGGGAGAAGCGCAACAAGATGCTGAAGTCATGAGCTCGGGTCGGTTAGACTAGAGCCGAAGCACAAAATGCGGTCAAGGAAATGCCGCTTCGGGAGGATGTAGAGAAGGTGCAGAGGCAGGCGCGACTGCACTGCCTAGAGACCACCGGGAAAGCAAGAGCGACCGGAACAGATCCAGAGAAGTCCAGTCTGTAGGGCGGGATGCGAGCAATGATACCCTATCGAGACTTCCCACAGTGGAAGACGGAGCAAAAAGCAATCATATTAGAACCTTGCCCATGAGTAAAGAAATGAAATGCCATTCCCTACTGAAAGTACCATAACCATAGACGTGGAATCACCTATACAGGCAACTTGCAATATAATATCTGCAAAACTACAATCATCATGACTGTCTAGGCTGTTTCATGACTCTCTTCACATGCGCTTCCCCAGCTGGCTAGCGGAAGGAGACCCCTGCAATGACACGCGAAACTCGGAAGTCGATCTTGGAACCCAGCAGCACCGACAACTGCCTCGTTGCGCCGACCCAACCACCACCATGACATGGACGGACAGCTTCACCTCCATGCCGGCCTGGCCGACCCCAGGTCTTTCCGTCCCAACCTCTACAGCTCCCGTTCGGCGACGCGCGTGACGACCGATCCCGAGAAGAAGTCGCATTCCCACCTGCACAAGCACAAGTCGTCGCGACACCACCACGACCGTCACGATGACCGGCACCGCCACAGCTCCAGCCGACGCCATGCTGCCAAAGAGGCCATGCAGTCGGCCATCCAGATACAGCCGCCCACCAGCTTCGGAGACCTGCTGAGGCAGGCGCGAGGGAGCAGAGACACGAGCCCCAGTCACAGTCGCAGGGAGAGCGTCGCACCAGGCCAGGCGGATGGCAGCGTGCATGGGAAAGAGGAAAGTACTCCAGGCATCACCATCCCGCCGCGGAGACCGATCCGGCAGGCAGATGTGGAGCTAGAGGCTAAGAGAGTTGAAGCTAGGGAACGGTGCGTCTGCGTCATTCACTATCAACCCCCATGATGCCCCGTAGCGTTCCCCCAAGATGCCTTCTCTAACATGGCCCGCAGAGACCTTCGTGCGGTTCTCCAGACCCTTTCCGACCAGTCCCTCAAGACGTCGCGCCGTCTAGACGACACCTACTATTCCATCCTCGAGAAGGTCTCCGTACTGCGCCAGACCATCGGAACACTGCAAGAGCTCTCGGGCTTGACCAAGGAGCTTCACGAAAACTTCGAGTCGGACACCACAGAGTTGCTGGAGGATGTGACTGGCCAAGTGGAAGCCTTCGATGGCTTCAAGACACAACAGGAGCAAGTGAGCGGGTTGGAAGAGCGCATCAAGGCGGGCAAAGAGAAAGCCGATGCACTGACGGCGAGGCTCGAACGAGCGAAAGAGCGTGTCGATGCGAGGGCCAAGTCGGAAGCGCAGTGGCAGGCGAAGAACACCCGTGTGGCTATCCTCATAAACTTCTTTGTTTCCGTCCCAACTAACATCACACAGATCGCGTGCGCATATTCTGGGCTATAGTGGGCTTTGTAGCTGCACTCATACTAGCTCTCGTTTTCTTCCGCCCGTCGCAACCGATCGACAACCTACACGAACCGAAAAATACACTCGATCCTGCGACCAGAGAGGCAATACTGAATGCCGACATTCCAGACATAGCAAAAGAGGCAATTATAGGGCCGTCATCTAGTACTGCAAGTCCAAAAATGGAGACCCCCGAAGCGCAGACTGTACTAGATGACGATGAGCGACTGCGCGCATTCGACGAGTTGTAACACTTCGAGCTACTTTCCTGCCCTATATTGCTTTCGAACACCACGATACCCCTGCGATAGTTTTGCCACGTCCAATATCAATCTCGAAATGATCAAGTTCTGTTGGTGTTACCGTCCACATCATCCTAGCCGTCAGGAGACCTATCACTGTTGTGTGACACAGGTATATCCGCGTGCGTTGCAGATCGTTGAACACAGCGTTAGGTGTTACTAGGCAGGACGCCTCGCCAAAGCATAGCCAATGGTCAGAATCTGTACAACACCTCAGCCGCTTTTGGCCCACCTAGCCCAAGCCACCAAAGCCACTAGCCCAGCGGCCTCTCGTATGTAACAGTACTTAGTCCTGTCGACTCCTCGCAGATCTTGACACACGAAGCTATCTCTGCTCTACCGGATCCTGAGCATGGCTTCATCTCGCTCTGCCACTATGCGTTCGCTGGAGCTCAGCCAAGAGTACCTTCCGACGGCCACTGCTCCAGTCAGAGCAGACCCACTTGCAAGCAGCCTCAAGCAGGATCGTTTACATGGTATCCCGGATCACGGCCGTTCCACTCATAGCGAAAGGCTACTCGGTAACAACCTAGCATGGAGTTCAGAAGGACCAGAATCCGTATCTTCGAAGGAACAGGCTATTGTCCGAACGCACTACGATTCACCGAAGCGTTCTGGAAGCTTTCACTGGGGAGATTGGCGGTGGGAGATCGCATCTGCACTTTTCAGTTTTCTATGCATTGTCGCCATAACAATCATATTGAAAGTCTACCAGGAGAGACCCTTGTCCAATTGGCATTTTGTTCATAACATTACGCTGAACACAGTTGTTGCACTTCTTTCGACCTTATCGCGGACAGCCCTGATAGTACCAGTTGCATCATGCTTGAGTCAACTCAAGTGGATTCATCTGGTTAGGTCACCACGCCCGCTGCGAGAGATGCAAATCTTCGACGACGCTAGTCGTGGACCTTGGGGGTCTCTGGAACTTGTTTGGAGATTGCATCTCAAAACCAAGTTGGCAACATGGGGTTCTCTCATCATGGTACTGTCCCTCGCCATGGGCCCCTTGTCACAGCAGTTGCTTTCGTATCCTTCACGATTGCGTTTCGACACCTCTGGTGCGACTTTCTACAAAAACCAGATTTATGATTCCGGCGCCGCCAGGGGCGTCACCGGACGAGGTGTTATCAGTAAGTTATATATGTAACTTCTTTGGAAGCCGTTCCAAGCTTACAACCCGAACAGGACGGATGATGGACCCCAAAATACAAGGTGCTATTCTCAACGGACTCTATAACCTCAGCGCGCCGGTGCAAGTCGAATGCCAGACTGGAAATTGCCAATGGGATGACTTCACAACCCTGGCAGTGGCTAGCAACTGTACGAACGTCACATCAGCCTCGGACATTGTCTGTGGTAGTGTACACGCAGGGAGAAGCTGCAATTATACAACACCATCTGATTTCTTCATCGAGTCGTCTTCCCATCAAAGCTCAGGCGGCGGAGGATCAACTCAATTCAACAGTACCGCTCATATACAGCGCGCATCTCAAATAGGCAGCGTACTCAACAGCACCATCGTCAGTTTTGCTACCGCCAATATGGTGTCGCCTTTTAGCATGGATAGTCCAGACCTCACTGAGTGTGACATGCGTTGGGTCGGTCGGCATGTCCGTAACATGACCGTTGTGAACGGTACCTTCAACCCTGGAATCATACAGGACTATGAACTTTACGGCATCGCCAATCCATTCAATCCGGACTATTGGGTCTCTTTCAACGTCTCGAACGAGACTACAACACTCCCTGGTAATACAACTTTCAGCGTCGGCCCAGTCGATAACGAGGGAATGATGACGTTTCTCTCCGGTATATTTTCCTCTACAATCAAGGACGCGTACGGTCTTGCCTTGCAAAACTCTACAAACCTGACACAGACTGTCCAAGCTATTAGCACTTCAATGACGTACGCCTTCGGCCAGGGGCCTAGCAGTATCAACCTCCCTGGTAGAACAATCACGACGGAGCAATACATAAAAGTCCACTGGGCCTGGATAAGCGTACCAGTTGTTGAAGTCATCATGGGCATTGCGTTCTTCGTAGCTACGATTGTACATACATGGAGGAGGGGCGTAGTGGCCTGGAAAAGCTCTGCCATCGTACCGTTGTTCACGCACATTGAAGGATGGCATCCTGAAGAAAGCCGAATGGGCAGCGCAAGAGAGGTAGAGAAGAGGGCTATGGACATGAGAGGCTTGCTAGAGAGAGATGAGGAAGGTGGGCAAAGGTTCCGACGCACGGATGCATGAGCTATCCTAGGAGCCACAAGATGTACGACCATGACAATACGACACCGACGCCGATGAAACCTCCCACCTCTGTGCCTGAGGATATGCTGTGGGTTGCGACCCCTACGATGATCGCTACGACTGTCGCGATCATGAACGATACGCATAGTGGCCATACCAAATATGTCTTGTGGACTACATGGCCGATGCACAAGACTTTCCGCTTCGTCGCTGCGTCTGTATTCTCCACATCGAACGAGTTCGTCTCGTGGAACATCCTTCCGCTCTCATGTAGCAGCTCTGGACGTCGTAGAGCAGCTGAGAGAGTATGCGACGTCTCAGTACTTCCGAACTGCACCTCCAAAGGGAACGCGCGTCCTTGAAGTAGGGGCTATACATGGTCAGCAATCAGTGCTACATTAGCAACCGTCTGGCTATCGACCTACGGGGGTGATCTCGCATATCTGAACGACGGGCCCATGGCACCACAGCCAACGCAGCCTGACGCGCTCTGTCGTACTGAAGCGCAGCTTGTAGACCTTGAAGAGATGTATTATCTGCTGCTCCGTGTTGAGTGCTTTGGTTTGCTTGTCGAGGAAGTTGCGGCCATGTTTGGTGTATCCAATCCAAATATCGGGCTCTCGGCCGATCACGGTAGCATTCGTGGTTCGATCGTCTGGACTGATAGTGACAGACATGATCACTGAGATGGTGCATTCTTGTCGTCGCCCACATGCATTGTCTTATACATGTCGAGCTACAATACATGACTCTAATTGAGCACCACCTCACAATATCAAGCTAGGGATCAACAACTTGAGTATCTTGTAAAGCGCATGTCTTCCTTCGCCTACATTTTGCTCACTGTGAGTGAACATCATTTATCTTGCGACAAAATGATGTTCGCAGCTTGCAAAGATAAACAAATTGTTTGTGTAACGGACTGAAACATTCTATTATTAGCTGCAAATGTCTCGGCTGCAGGAGGGACGTTCAACGTGGAGTTCTTGGGGGCTGAACAATTTGTTCGCGTTGCCAACAATTTGCTCTACACCGCGACTTTGGCAAGTCGTGGGTGGCCTTCGCCGTCGCGCCACTCCTGCTTGATAAAAAGGTCGTCTTGCCCTCCCTAGGTCTTCTATCGGATATCTCTATTTTCACAATTCTCTTCGGAAAACTTTCGGTTCATAGCATTAGCAGGAAAAGATTCTAACAGTACGCGTACAGAAGTATCTCGGTCGCGGCTATGCAGCTGCCCTGCCGTGACACAGAACACTGGCCCCTCTCTATGCGACGCAAACCGATTGTGGACTTGCGCAACGAGCCCCTTGCAAAGTCAGACTCTAGGCCTCAAGTTCCTCAATTCGAAAAGGAAGCTACATCGATTACACCACCCATACCATCATGCGACAGTGGCTACGGCGGTTCTCCTAAGCTTCACTGGCAAGAATTCACTGGTCCAATACCGGCAGTCCTTGCCGACGGACTCGAGCGATTGTCTCCATCAACCAGTTCTTCTAAATCGCCTGCGGCTGCTTCGATTCCGACAACATCTGTCACAGCACAGTCATCGCCAAGGCCTCTTCATCGATTCACCTCCATAACACGACAAGCGTACGACGCCGTTCATTCGTATCCGTTTGCGAGGATTTTGAAATCGTTTAAGTGGTGGATACCGACTCATGGGCCTTGTAAAACACTAGCACCAGGATTATACACAGCGACTACAACACCGAGTAGTCTAGTACATCGTGGCCGAGAAAAGGACAATAACAGCCAACATGATGGGGATGGCGATGAGGTCGCGCACTGGATTAGTGCAACCGAACATGCTGCGGTCACGAGCATTCACAGTTCACTAATTGCTCCGGTACAAAGCCGGAGAAAAGAGACTATATCACCATCCAATAGGGCGCTTCTTCTTGAGTCCTGGTCATATCTGCAGGCAGAACATGATCCTCACGAGATATTTGAGACATCGCAGGGATATGACAGTACGGAAAGCTATGCGGCGGATACAAATATGACCTGCCCAACAACCGACGGTTCTGGATCAGACGACCCTCCGAAGAGCGCCATAACGTCCCATAGTACTTCGATTGGATCTGGTAGCAAAGCCTTCCCTTCTCTCAGCCGGTCAAACCCAAAGAGATATGAGAGTGAGGATGACGATGGGTACCCGCACAAGAAGCCGAACGGCAAGCAACAGCCTTGGGATCTCGGCATAACATCGCCTTCTAGTTACAAAGTACAAATGCGCTGTCCATTGTTAGAACGACATGGATGTCAAGGAACTAATCCATCAATCTCGGAGCTGAAGCGAAGTCTCATGAGTCGTCACAGCATAGGAATATGCGAACATTGTTGTACGCGGCTACCGATTTCAGACGATGAGAAAACGCCAAAGGAACTACTGAAACTACTGGACGATCATGTAGCGGGATGCGTTGAGCGACGCTGTATTGGCAGTTCTTGTGGCAACGCTTTGAACGACAGTGCTTCTCATCCTCGCCGAACTGGAATATGTCCCTCCTGGGCAACGCTTTCCAAGGAGATAAGATGGCGTTTTATATGGACATTAGTAAATCCCCAGTTAAACCCACCGAGTCCGAACTTCCTTCTGGGTCCCAATCTTGAGCATCTTCAGGAGAGAAGGCCTGTCAAACAAAGAGCACGACCTAGAGGAATCGAAACATGCCCGCGCACCTCGCGAGACAT